AGGGCTTTAGCTCTGAAGCAAAGTTTTGGCTACTTTAAGTTGAGCTTGTCAGTCAATGTCCATCAGATAGCTGGGCACCCAACTGCACAGTGGGCAGTGCTGCAGTTTTGCATCCCCTCCAACAGATCCAGGCCAAATTCCAGGCTGGACAAATGCATTGTCTCATCCAAGGCTTTGATGAGCGGGAAGTGATGCAGTTTCCCCCGTGCAAGGCTCCACCAGAGCTGGTGTTCAGGATTAAACTCTGAGATCACTTCTTATCCTTTTGTTCTCTCCACCCCAACATGAATCAGCATCCCAGGACGAGGGACCAGGGAGCTGCACTCAGGTTCCTGCAGTTTGGGGCAGGGGGGAGAGCCCCAATTTAAGTTCTTTAAATACTCAATAATCAAAGGATGCTGCTCCCCTCCACCTTCCCAAGTCAGCAGAAACACAGACAGACTTCAGAGACAAATCACACACATGAGAAATGATATCCCAGGGGAAACCTGCAGGAGAGGAAGAGGACTTTTTTTTTTTAATTATGAGGAGCAGTGACTGAAAGGAGCCTGCAACTGAGCTTAAAAATCTCTGTGTGCAGCAAAGACTCAACTGGAGGAGGATGAGGAAGCCTCAAACTCCTTTAATAACACAACTGTATCACAGCAGAACAGGGCAAGAGCTTGACAAGCAGCAAATCTGATAACACTGACAAGATGATCAGCTCCAAACATATCAAAATTACAGGGTTTTCCCCCTCCCCATCCCACAGAGCCTCTCTTGTGCTCTTAAAACACGAGATTCTGGCAGTTTTCAGGGCAGAACCAAGCAGTGTGGTCTCTTGGTGGAGACATTCCCTGCAAATTATTCTGCCTCAAGTTGCCACTTGTCATTTCTAGCTACACCTTCAGGTTCCTCCCCACAAGCCCTGGCTATTTCAGCTGGAGAACACTGGTGAAAGCACAGCTCATGCTGGCACAGAGATGGGAATTCTGCCCCTGTGCTGCTGTTCTGGGCAATCCCAACCGAGGGACAGGATAAGAGAGCTGGAGATTTGATTTGTTTTTCTCTACACCCAGAGAGGTGTGACCAAAAGAAAAAAAACCAAACCAAAACAAAACAACAAAACCCACCAAAAACAAAGAAAAGCAGCCACAGAAATCAGGGTTTCAAAACTGATCGCTGTAACTCAAGGAAGTGTAAGATGAGTAAGGGATGATTGTTAATACCTGGGCAGGAAAATGCCTGGTAAATAGTGGGTGATGCCACCTGTGGCAAGCCCAAACAGAGCCCTCTCCCCAGAAAACACTGGTAAAGGCAAAGGGAAACAGAACAGAAAAAGACTCAAGAGGGGTAAAAAGACCTTTTGTAAGTCATTAAAAGGGAAATATCAGCACTGGGAGTTCCAGGGAGTTTTTTTTCCCCTCAAAGGGCTGAGTCAAAAATCAACTTGGGGACAGCTTTCCCTGCACCAGCTGTGCTCCCTCCTCCCCATCCCCACCACGGACGCCTCAACATCTCCCCAAGACCGTTTTTTACAGCCCCAGAAGAAGAGCAGAGAGTCAGGAGCCCATCAGTCAGTGTGTTAAGAGCCCAAGGGCACATCCCAGCTGCTCCCCACTGGAAGGGCAGGCTCCCCTCTGCCCACACCTGCTGCTCCCCACTTCCCTCAGCTCATCCTCCTCCTCCTCCTCCTGAAGCTGTCAAGGCTCTGACAGACACATCCCCTGAAGGAAGGATGGACAGAGATTTACCACAGGCAGCAGGATGGGGCACCAGCAGGTGCTTGGCAATAAAACAGGGACATTTACTGGAGACTTTTGCCTAAACGGGTCCATTAAAACATCGTCTGCATGCAAATACCTACAAGAAATCAACCTCGGAATTGCTTCCAAGAGGCTCAGAAGATGGGCATGCCACGGGAAGATTTAAATCTACCCCAAACCCCTTCACCTCAGTAAGCTTGCAGAAGACAGCGCTGCTCAGCAGATACACAAGAGTCCAGTGGCAAATTGGTGCTTTATCCAAGAGACTCAGATCTGCAGGGACAGAGGCTTTGCCTTCCTTATGTATAAGCATGTCCTCTAGCAAACCTTACAGGAGAGGAGGTTCCTGTTAAAGGCAGTTTTAAGGAGTTATTTACATTTAACACGCTAACTCTTGCCATAGAATTGTCCAGATGTATCCCTTGTTCCCCCTCCATCCCTACTCCATCCTAAAGGATTTTCACTATTTTTTTTTTTTTTTGCTTCCCACAAGGGTTTTGTTGCCCAAAATTACACACTTTTAAGACTAGTTTTGATAATCCAGACCTCTTAAACACCACACCCCTTGGAAGTGTCCCATTGCTCTGACTTTTGGAGAACACAGCACCAGTCCTCTTGTCATTCCCAGGGCTACCCCAAGGTGCACAAAGTCACCTGGATATGAATTTCTGCTCCATGGATGTACCTAAAGAGTGTCCCCCATCGCAGTGTGACCTCCCCAACACCCCAGTCCTGAGCCAGGCAGGAAAAAAAAACTTGCTAGCTTTGAGGCTCAGCAGGCACTAAAGGATCAAATCACGGATTGTGTGCAAGGAGCTGGACATTCCCCCGAGGAAGGGAAATGATGTGAGGGAGGTCTTAAGTTCTGCCACGGCCACTCCGGCAGATGAAACCCCAGAACTTATTTTCCACAGTGGCTGCCTGTGAAAATAAAGCATCACGCTGGAAGGATAAAGCAGGAAGCATCCTCCTGCCTGCTCCCTCCTCCAGGCAAACACACACCCACACACAGGCTCAGGGATCACAAATGCCTGTTTTCCAAGCCTTTCCCTCGCTGCACTGAACGATTCCCCCCTTCCCCAGCTCCCTCCAGAACACCCAGAGCAATAAAACCATGGAATAAAGAGTCGCTCCCCCCCTCACACACACAAAACCACCCCATCCACACTGGATTTTCCAGGAGCAGCTGGCTGCCCAGGTTGACTCATCACAATTTAGCCCACCCAAACAATTAATATCCGAGGGTGCCTCCCAGAGGTGAGCTGCAAGAGGAAGCCACCCTGTAAATCCAGAGCCACGAAGCTGCTTTCCTGACAGCATCTCTATTCCCCATCCAGCGGATTTCTTGGCCAGCAGGACAATCTGAGCAGCAAGGGAATGACAACACTTTGGGGTTTGGCTGGCAGACTACTGGGTTATTCTCTCCCTCCTCCCCTTTTTTTTTAAAGGTTGTTTTGTTGGACCCTCTAAAACAAGTGATTTAAGACTCTCAAGGATTTCTTGCCTCAGCGCTGCACAGAGAGGAGTGAAAGCCAATACCTCCAGAGATCCCACAAGCTGGCAAAGGCCCAAGAACAGACCAGTTGAGGCTCCTCAGCAGACTTTTCCTGAAACATTTAAATAATTTAGAAAGCATTAACTCTTACTGACAGCTCCTTCCCTTGCAGGGCCCTATCAGAAACCTCATCGCTCTTAATCCAAAAGGATACAGCCACTGCAACAGCCCAAAAATCTTGGTCAGGGGTTGAATAAGGCTTTCAGAAGGTGCCTGGGGTATTTTTTCCTCTGCTGAAATGCCTTCCTTGCACAGGCAGGTCTTCCAGAGGCCACCACCTGCCACTTATCTGCAGTGGCACGGTGTAAAACAGGCAGAAATGGTTAAGGGACAGCCTGTCAACATTTCCCTTGCTGGGGGCTATTCAGAGGAAAGGAGCTGTTCCCTGGAGTGCTTCAACTGTGTAAACACTGTACAAATTAAGCAGCACTGAGGTGTAAACTATTAACTCTAAGCCCTTCTTTGGGGTCAAGTAGAAGAGATGCTGCAGCACCACCAGTTTCACACCATAACATCTTCCCCCCAGGGGGTCAGAGTTATGTTTTAGAACAAAGTGCATTTTTATAAAGTTCTCTTCCCCCCTCCCTATCTTATCACCAACAGAGATTAAAAATAGGGTTGCTAATGATGCAGCAGTGGCTGGGCCAAGCTCTTCCAGCAAAGTTATTCCCGTGCCACTTCCTACCCCCCACCCCAAAAGGCAGCTGGATGGAACAGGGGACCAGCTCTAACCCTCACAAAACCACAAGTCAGGCCAAACCCAAGATCTCCACTGGAAATGGCAGCAGAGCACTGGCTCCCAAGCCACCTGATCAACAAACACATTTCCAGCTGTGGTTCCAATCAAGACTCAGAAAGCAAAAACCTCCTCCTGCCGTGGAAAACGAGAACAGCCCAAAGGAGACCCAAACTGCAACACAGCTGCACTCCACAGCCTCAGCCATGCCCTCAGAACCAAGGTCTGCCATGCCCAGCAGGTTCAGCAGGAGAACACAAATCACCCCGTGCAGTTTTCCATGTTTAGCAGCCACAAAACAACATCAGTGACAACGGGAACACAGGTGGGGGCAGAGGCAGCAGCACCACATCCCATTTTGCTGCCCGTCATCGATCCAAAACAAAAAAATGCCCCAGTCCCAGTGATGAAATAATTGCAGACTGGCACTCCATAAGATAATGCCAGTCATTAGGACATTGTTTATGGTTCATCTACGTGGCTCCCATGGCTACAGCAACAGGGATGATGCTGGTGAGCATTTGAGAGACATTATACACATGCATTTTGCCTTCACTCAGTTTTGCCCAAGTGAAACATCAGCATGTAAAGCCTCACAGCCAGGGATGTTTCAGCACTAATTAAGAGAGAAAAAGCAGAACAGGTAAGCAGCCCTCCTGTGCTCACCTCGAAACTAAATTCCAGCCCCGGAATCCAGCACTCTGGTGAACGTAAATGGAATTCAGGAGCTATCCTCCCATCCTTAAACACAGCAGACACCCAGCACAGGCAACAGATACCATCACTAAGCAGCAAAGCCCATTGAAAACGCATCAAGCCCTGCCTTACTTCGGCGAATTAAATAATTCAAGAGCTGGCAGGGCTGTTTTTTTTTTTTTTTTAAGATTTCCTGTCCAAACGCATCGCCCGGCAACAGAGCAGCGCTCCAGCAGCCGGAGGAGGTTTTGGTAAGACCACAACTTACCTGCACACCACTCCTTTAACGGAGATGCTGCTCCGACAGCTCCCCCTCCCCACCCCGGATCCACCGCACTCGTTCCCAAATCCCGCTCGCTCAGGTGGCCGAGGCGGCGGCTCGTGCTTTTTCTGCGGCTCCGGCGTTAATCCATCCAGAGCATCTTTCCCCCTCACTTCCAATTGGCGAGCGGCGGATGGGTGGAGTGAGAGCGCGACCCATTAGCTCCCAGCTGGGCTCCTCGATGCCGGCTCTCTCCTAATCCCACACACACACCTGCACGGCACCCTCGGCACATGCCCCCCCTCCCCAAAACCAGGGATTCGGGATTTCTCCTCCCGGCCGCCTTCTCGGAGCTCTTCGCCTCTACCAGGCAGGAGGAAAAAGCAGGATAATTAAAGCGACCCAGCGGTTGGGAGCCGCGGAGTTTTGCTGGATGCTGTAGGGAAGAAAGCTCCTGTTCCTCCTTAAAAAAAAAAAGAAAAAAACAACCAACCAAACCCAGCTTCGTGGCAGCCACGCTCAACTGAAGTGAGAAGATGCTGTACCTTACAGAGAGAAGTACAGGGAAAGCCCAGAGGATGTGAAGATGCACGAAGGAGAGAGGGATGGGGGAGGAAAAAAAACAAACCTGCTGCTCAGAGGTAGATACAGCAAATTTCTTAAAGATACAGCTGCCCGCCCGACTGCCGGGCTCGGGTGGTTTATCCAGGCAGCAGTGCAAGGGTTAATGCGTGAATTCAATGAGCAGCCTGCATATGGGAATGAGAAACGGGGCAGTGGAGTCCGTGCTCTAACAGCAAGTCCCAGAAAATAAAGCTGAAAGACCTCACCTCACCCGAGGAGACTTGAATCCCAAACTCTCTGCCCAGCACTGGACCTAAAAAGCGTTGGAGGGAAGATGCCACATCCTCTCCCCCCTGCTCCAGCCTATTCTACTGCTTCACTTTCCTTACAATTCAAGATTTTCATCACAATAAGCCAAGGCTCCCCCCCCAGCTGAATAGTTAAAACCCAGAGGAACGGTCTATGCTGGTCAAAAAAAATAAATAAACAAACCCAGAAAGGAAAAAAAAAAAAACAAACTCCCCAAAGACACATCAATTCAGCCTTAGAAAAGGCAGAACCCTAAAAGAATAAGACAGAAATAAATTGGTGCATTATCCAAATGCCGGCACAAGGCTGGCTCACTCCCCTACAGTAACTCTGTGACTTCAGTCAAAAAAAAAAAATAAAAGAAAGATTCCCAGAGATGTTTACCGGGAGGCAGCAAACGTTTCTTCCCGGAGCAAAGCAAGGAGAGGCAGGACCCGGCTCGGGAAGGGGCATCCCTTCCAGCAGAGGGATTCAGTCAGAGCCTCATGCCCCCATCTCCAGTCCCTGCCACAGACTTGTTTCCGCTGCACGAAACCACAGGCAATGCATGTTTTTAAACACCTCCCACGCGTTTTCCCTGCCGAGACTGCTCATCCAGTCTCCTCCATAGTTATTTTTTAATTTTTTTTTTTTTTTGCATGCCACCTGACGAGCTTTTCCAGGTGAGACACATCACAGTCCGACTGGCAACAAGATGCAAAGGAAGTACAGCGCAGTTCATGAAGTGTTGAGGGTGGAAGAGACCCTAGGAGGTCTCCATTCCCAATCCCTGCTCCAGGGAAAAAAAAAAAACCACCTTTAAAGAGAAATCAGGCTTGCTCAGGACTTCACCTCATTTAGCCTGATATCCTTGCCCAAGGAAGTTTTATGGGAAGTCAAGACTCCCATCCTTAGGATCAGCACTTACAGCAGAGCTCGGCTCCTAAACCAGCAGGATTCACCAAGTCTCCCCATACAGATTTTTTCACGTTACAGAAAAATTTGAACCAAACTGCTATTTTGAGGTAATTCCTTGTAATGAGGTAAATCAGCTTAATACCTTCCTGTATGCCCACACTTGATACCTTCAACAACAGTCTAAAGGACAGAGCTGACAGCATCCCAACCCGGAAGGTGAAACGAGCCTCCAGCAGGTATTTCAGGTTTCAAACACTGCCGGATTCATTTCACCCAGTGAACTAGCTTATGAAACAAAAGACTGGCTCAGATCCTCCTCTATTCTTATTTTTTTCCCCCGTGCTGAGGTTGTTTATCAGTCCTCCCTGGCCAGCCTGGGTGTAGCAGGGACCGGAGCATGGAGGAGTTGACAAGTGACAAAGCTGGTGGACCAGGAGAGGTCCAAGAGGGGAGCGCAACAACACGGCCACACCAATTCACCCACCGACACAACACCACCAACCCACCCACTGAGTCCTGCCTGCACCGACATGGCCACACCAATTCACCCACCGAGTCCTGCCTGCACCGACACGGCCACACCAATTCACCCACCGACACAACGACACCAACCAACCCACTGAGTCCTGCCTGCACCGACACGGCCACACCAATTCACCCACTGACACAACACCACCAACCCACCCACCGAGTCCTGCCTGCACCGACACGGCCACACCAATTCACCCACTGACACACCACCAACCAACCCACTGAGTCCTGCCTGCACCGACACGGCCACACCAATTCACCCACCGACACAACACCACCAACCCACCCACCGAGTCCTGCCTGCACTGACACGACCACACCAATTCACCCACCGACACAACACCACCAACCCACCCACCGAGTCCTGCCTGCACCGACATGGCCACACCAATTCACCCACCGAGTCCTGCGAGCATCAACACGGCCGCACCAACCCATGCACTGAGCCCCACCTGCCTCTTGACCCACCATCTCCAAAGCCTCCTCAACTCTCACTGGGCTTTCTCTGCCACCTTGTGCCACCCCCTCTTGTCCAGTCCCCGACCCCGGTCACGCACCATCCACTGGCCTGCTCCACCTCTGGGACAAGCGCTGCGGCCACTGGGCCAAATCCTGGGAAGAGCCCCCAGCGCTGTCCCCGAACTGGCCGTAGGGCGAGCGCAGGAAGGTGAGCCGGGGGTAGCAAAAAGGCGCCGGCTCCATCAGGACGGAGAAGAGAGGAGAGCCAGGTACGAAGCAAACCGCGTCCCCCTTCGCCTCCTTGCCCGGGTACTGGTGGGACATGCAGCCTCAGAGCCTTCTCCCAGACAAGTTCCCTCTTTGGAGAAGGAATCAGTGTGAAACAAACCACAAAAAAAAGAAAAAAATGGTAATAAAATACAAAATAAAGCCTCCGGAGCAGCCCCGGTGCTGCTGTCACAGCCCAGCAGAGCTCACTGGAAAAGCAGCGTCTCCAGCCTGTATTTAAACGCCCCTCTCAGAAAGCAGAGATGCAGCACAGGAAGAGACAAATTCCAGCCCTGCGTCGCGCTGATAAGCCAGGTTTATAATATTCAAGGAGTATTGGCATTACTACAGTTCCTCCCCCCGCACACACCCCCCCCTCTCTCTCCAACGAATATCTTGTGCGGGAGCTTGTTGTGCACAATAAGCAAAAAAAAAAAAAAAAAAAAAAGCCCAATCCCAAAAAAAAAAAAAAAAAAAAAAAGGGAAAAAAAATCAGGCTGTTCCGGTGGGAACAGCCAACACGTTGAATAAAACAAACACACGCGTGTTAAGCCCTGGGGACGCAATTAGGCTCGGAGCACGGGGGGGGGGGGAAGAGGCAGTTTAAACTCCTGGAAAAGGAGATGGCAGAGGGAGAGAGGAAAAGGAGAATCAACCTGGTGCCTCACACTGCGTCCCCCCCGGGGTGTCTCTTCCCAGGGGGATGAGCCCACAAGTGGCAGCAGGGTGCCACCACGAGGGGAGGAAGGTCACCTCCATCCTCAGCCCCATCCTCCTCATTTCCACCCTAATTTCCACTGCTAATTTCCACCCAGTGGTAACTCACTCCACCCTCCCTGCACACCCCGAGACAGAGGCTGCCCAGCTCCAAACCATCTCAACCACCCATCAGCCAGCTGAGATGTTCTCTCCACCAGCTCCAAATGGGAGGTTTCCCCCACCACAGCCCACATTAACACTACTCAAATCCATCTCACCACAGGATGCCCCCAGGGCAGCCCCATAAGCCCTCCTGCTGCCACTTGCATCAGGCCCTTCAAACCTGAGGAACCCAAAAGCATGTGTGGGGAGGAAAACTTCTCACCCAACACCAAAAAAAACCCCCAACTTGGTGCTGCCCGCTCCACTGGCCAGGTTTTCACGCTTTTCTCCCCATCTTCTTGCAGTTTTTCAGCAGGGCATCTCTGAGGATTGAAACTGGACTCTTCCCTCTGTTCCTTACCCAAATCACAGCTCCCACTGGTTCAGCAGAGCTTGCAGACCTTCCTACAGCAACAGAGGAAGACTTCAAGCCCTCAGCACTGCTGGTTTTAATTGCAAGTCAGAGCCAGGGCTGAATTTAGAAAAGAGGGAATAGCAAAACCCACGGAGTTATAAGTGACAGCAAAGCTCTTTGATATCAAAGCCAGCACTGACAGATGCAGGAGCCCGCAGTGCTCTGCTCTGGGCCAGGATGTCACCGTGCTCTTCAGAGAGGCTTTATGGAGAGCTTAGCCCAGATCATATTTAGAAAGTTATACTGCAGTAAAATTAAAGGGAAAAAAAAAACAAACCACAAAAAAACACCTAAGAGTTTTTCAGCACCACCAGGTCCCAGCATCAAGTCCTGAAGGGGCTGCTTGGCAGATTTCACGATCTCAGACCCCAATTAGGATGGGCTTGGAGGAGTTGCCTCGGCATTCCCAGTTTTTAACCACACTGTATCCTTCACAGCAGGCTCCCCACCCGGCTTCGGAGGCGAAAGCCCCGCGCTGGCTGCAAAGGTAAGGAGGATTTACCACAGGCTGGCTGTCTGCTGGGGTGCTTGGCAGGGATTTGCATATTTACAGGGTAGATGACAGTTTCATGACGATGAGTCATTAAAGTGTCCCGAGTGTTGTTTACTCCCAGAGCAATCCTACATAAGGAAACAGGACTTTTCCAGAAGTGGTTTCTCATTAGGAGGAGGTAACTCGAGTGCCGCCCGGACCTACAGCTACAGAAAGGTTTTGGGCAGCGAGCACTGTGGCTTCCCAGAGACTCCTAAACCACAGCATGGGTATTAGAATTCCTAAAAACCCACCAAAACAAACAGTTCCCCCCCCCCCCCAGGTAATGTGATTTAGTACCTGTCTTTAGGCATAAGGTACCTATGCAGAGCATCACCAGTTCTGCAAGGACAAAATCTGAGGTTTGTCTTACACAGGCAAATAAAACAGCACCAGGTTAAGCCTGATAACTCCAGATTAAATTCCAAGTTGGCAACTCAAACTCAGCCTTGACTCTAATTCTTACCTCAGCTCCCTTCTGCAAGAAACATCACGCTACACAACAAACAAATCAAACAGCATCAGGCTGTCTGATAATTACGGATTAAATGCCAACTTCTCAGCTAAAATCTGACCTCTTAACCTCAGCTCCCTTCTGCTGAAATATCTGACTCCTCACTGCTACTTCTCTTTAGGCCAACACAGAAGACTTTCATTGCGGATCCTTTTCCTTTTAAACCCAAAGACATCTTTGCTTTCACACTGACTCAACACAGAGCTAAATCTTGTTTTAATAACTGTTTACAGCCTTCAGTGATTTACTACAGCTTTACTAGAAGTCAAGGCACTAGGGGTTTACACAGGGAGACCTTCCGAGTGAAGAGAGGGCTCCGCTAGAAACCCCGGCTCGCCTTTCTGCGGGCATTTATTTAAACAAGCTGAAGCATTCCAAGCGCCAAGGAACACCAGGAGAGCCCGAGAGGAACTCCCTCTGCGGTCCATCATCCTCGCAGAGCTGCAACTGCTCAAAAGCCACAGACGTCGCCGAACTAGAGGGCTCTGGCTGAGCTGGATTAGCCAAAGCATCCCCATTATAGCAGGGAAGTGGCAGCTCACAGGGGTGGTGGCAGTGACTGAGGTCGCTGTGTAGACAGGACTGGAGTGTTACATCGCTGTTCCCTCCCAGAACAGCAGCCACAAAACCAACAACAGCAGCCCAGGTGAGAAGGGGGAAACCCTGAGTCAAGGAGCTGCTTCAGCTCCGGCACTTGAGGGGCAGTAAGTTGGCAGAGGAGCGACAAGGGGACACTCACTCCTCCTGAAAACCCACAAGGAAGTCCTCAAAATATTGAAACAACTCAAAAAAAAAAGTTATATATTCTCTGCAGATTGTTCACATGCATATCTGCACAGAGAAGCTGTGGCTGCCCCTGGATCCCTGGAAGTGTCCAAAGCCAGGTTGGACAGGGCTTGGAGCAACCTGGGCTAGTGGAAGGTGTCCCTGTCCACGACAGAGGGATGGAATGAGATGGTCTTTAGGGTCCCCTCCAACCCAAACCATTCCATGATTTTATATGGCTGCTGGACAGCCACTGGCACCATCAGGACTCAAGAGTGGCAACAGCGGCCACAAACACGAGAAAGCAGCAAAGCAAAGCTTTCAGGAAGAACATCAGACCCAAAGCAAAACTTTTTCGTTAAACCCAGAAAAGACCCGAAGGCGCAATCCTCGCCGAGAAAACAGATCCACGGGAGCCGTTCCGGGACAGCCTCCCGCTCGGCAAAGCTGCTGTGCCACCTACAGTTCCTTCGGGTCCAGAACAAAACCCTGTTCCTCCGCGACCCCGAGTCCCTGTCACTGCACCGAGTGTCACCGCGGCCATGCCGGTGAAGGAAGCGCTTCCTTTGGCAAGGCTGGGGCGGGGAGGGGGGGGAAGGCACCGCAGAAAAGAACTTTTATAGAGTTCATCGTAAATCAGAAAGCGAGTTTCCAAGCGCATTAAAGCCCACCCCTCCCACTGCGTTTCGAATAAACTCATTGCCGAGGTCTTCCCCAACGCGCAACACCGCCTCAACTCTTTACGCGAGCTCAGTCCGAGACGTCAAAGTTTCACTTTTTTTCTTTTTTTTTTTTCCTCCTTTTTACTGCGGCTTTTACACCGACACAGTCAGGCAACCGCATCCGCGAGCAGCGGAGCGGAGCCCAACACCGCAGCGAGCCCTCCACCCCTTTTCGGGCATAAACAAGCCCAAGCGAGGGGACAAAGCACCCCCCCAAGGACATCCAGCCGCGAAGCTCCCATCGCTCCTCCATCCCCCGCTCCTCCCGTCCCGCCGCATCCCGGCACCCCAGGAGCCCGGTTTGCGGGTGCCACCAGTAAAAAACCTTCGGCAACGACACGAAGCGACCATTCCCTACTATTTTGTGTCGGTTTTTTTTTTTTTTTCTTCCCCCACCCCCGATTGCAAGAAGGGGAAGCCGGGACCAGCAGGATGACCCCACCGCCTCCAAGCCCACCCTGCCCGCCGCGTCCCACCCCGATGCAACAGGCGGAGCTGGGAAAAGGGGGCGGGCGACGGGGACACCCCGCAAGCCGGCGGCCACTCTGCGTGTCCCCCCTCTCCCCGTGTGTGTCTGTCCCACCCGTGTCCCCCTGTCCCTCACCGCAGGGCTGGAGGAGGAACACCTGCCGCGCTGCCATGGCCGCTCCGCTCAGCCCGTCCGCGCCATCGCAGGGGGGGGGGCTCTACTTCTTCATTTATTTTCCCCGCCAAAGGATTAAAAAAAAAAAAATCAATTAATTAAAAAAAAAAAAAAAAAAAAAAAGAGAGAGAGACAACTCGGCTCCTCCTTCTCCCCACTCCTCCCAAGCCTCGGGGGGAAGGAAGAAAAAAAAAAAAAATTAAATATAAAAAGCCCTGGAGAAAGTCCCGGGTCGGGAGCGCGGCTGGAAAGGGAAGGGACGAGCGGTGTCACACACACACCCCCCACCCCGCTGGGTCCTAAAGCCCGCCCGCCGCGCACACCGGGCGGGGTCACCCAGCGGGGACATTTAGGGACAATTCGCCACCGCAGAGCCCTCCGAGGGGGGTCCAGGCGGGGCTCTGTAGAGTTTTTTTTTATATAATGGGTTGGAAGGGACCTTAAAAATCATCTCGTTCCACCCCGTGCCACGGGCAGGGACGCCTTCTGCTACCCCAGGTTGCTCCAACCTGGCCTTGGACACTTCCAGGGATCCAGGGGCAGCCACAGCTTCTCTGCCCAACCTGGGCCAGGACCACACTTATTGGAAAGACCCCTCTTCCTTATATCTAATCTAACTCGACCCTCCTTCAGTTTAAAACCATCACCCCTCATCCCGTTACAACCTGCCCTGTATTGAGGCTCTTTCCTTTCAATTAAAAAATAAATCAGTTTTCCCTTTTCCAGGGATGCAAGCAGCATTGCCAGGCAAGATGATACTCATAACTTCAGGGGGAAAGCATTACACTGACAAATCTTGCATCAAGCATATTCATGGACACCACAGGATCCCGTAATCCAGACTGTTCTTCTCTGCCCCTTCAAAAACTGCACTGAAACAACCCAACAAAGGCACTTTTCAGTCCAAGCCCAGCTCACTGGGGGTCAAAATAAACCCCTGGGGCATAGCACAAGTGATGAACCTTGAGGTTCTTTACAAAACCAAGCAGCAACAACAACAAAGTTTGAAAAGCAGGTGCATGGGGATGGTTCCAAACATGCAGCCTTTGCTTTAGGAAAGAAACAGGCACATTTCTGAAGTTCCTATACCATAAATATTAGATTGTTTTGTTTCCCTCCTTCCTGATCTTTCCTCCAGGAAGCATCTGAGCTGATCCAGCCCCAGCAAGCAATTTGGGAATCAGAATGGCTTGGGTTGGAAGGGACCTTAAATACCATCTTGTTCCATCTCCCTGCCATGGTCAGGGATGCCATTCACTAGAGATCAGGTTGCTCACCCAACGTGGCCTTAAACACTTCCAGGGATGGAAAATCCACAAAATTTGGAAATTTGGAAGTGAGGGGTGAAGGAGGTTTAAAGAAATCTTACAGACATCTTGGCTTTGGATTGCTACAGGTCTTGGTGTCAAGGCAGCATATCCAGAGTGAACCTTCCCCATCCTCTAAAATCAGCAAACCACATCCAGGAGAAAGCAAACAAACAAACCCCACAAACATAAAAAAACCCCAAACAAACAACAAAAAAATCCCACAACCTGCCCAATAAACCAGCAAACCCCCTAGAAAAGCATTTAACACCATTTTAACCAGAGGTGGGAAATCCCCTGCCCAAAACGTCAAGTCTTAAGTTTATATCCCACCATTATTCTGATACCAAACCCAAAACACTGTACCAGGTACTGAGAAAAACAAATTAATTATATCCCAGTCACAGCCAGGACATCACCCAAACCAAGAAGAAGAGTGGGGAGATTTGAGGTTGATCCAGTTATGCTGTTTTGGAAGGTGCAGACACTGTGGAAGTGAATCCTTGATTTAATGGTTTAAACTGCAGACATTTAACAGCACATGGAACTCCTTGCACACATGGCATCCACCTACAGGTGACTGGGAGCCCAGTCTCGACCTTGCCAGCTCCTCCTGGAAGAAGACCAGGAAGGAGAAGAGTATGGAATACACAGGAGAGCATGCAAGGATGACTTTGCAAAACTTCAGTCTCTTCCAGGAGTTTTGAGACTCCCTCCAGACCTACATCCTATGGGCACGCAGTGGAAAACTGAATCCCATATCAATTCCCTTTCATACATCCAACCACATTTCCCCATTACAATAAGTTGATATTATTATAGCAGGTGTCCCACGGTGGAAATTTTAGCCCCACCAGCAGTCCAGCTTGCTGGAGGGTATCAGCTTATCTGAAATGATTCCAGGCACCAGAGAGGACATCAAATACCTCCCCGTCTGGCGCTGTCCGCTCTATCCCAGCGTCTGCAGACCTGCTCTCTGCAAACACTCTCCCCTGTCACAGCTAAGCACAGTCACCCAGAGGCAGCTGGATCCACCCTTCCCTGAGCCCAGCAGCTTGTGAGGAGCCTCATTCCCCTCCAGCAGGTTCCTAACTTGATGCACAAAGACAGCCTCCCTCCCGGGCAGAAGTTCATTTTCCTCCCTGACTGACTGACTGGTTGGCATTAAAGCAGCTCTTTGTAGCCAGGCTGGTTTGTGGCTGGAAACCAGCGGGAAGTGGATTTTTGCTTGTCTTCACAACCAGATCACGCAGGACCTGATTGCCTGGTCCAGCAGGATCAGCCGAGTATCCAAGCAGAAGATCCTTGGGCTCCCTCCAAGCCAGGGACACGTGCCAGGTATATCTGCTTTTTAGCAGGAGGTTTTTGCCAGGACTCTGATTTTTCTGGTGGGCTCACACTGGAGGCTGCAGGAGTCTGGACCCAGAAAGTAACACTAGGTGGACCCAAGCATTGCAGAGAAACCCTTATCCCATCCTCAGGAAGCAGCACTCGGACTCCCACGCCTGTGACACGGCCAAGACTTGAAACAAGGGCAAAGAAGTTGCTTAGGGGATCAAAATAAAATAAAAATAAATTTTAAAAAAAAAAGTACTACATACCTGCTGTCTGAGTAGTTATATCGTGGTTTAACCATGAATTCCTCAAATCCCCCCCTCTACCTCCTGCTGCTTTGACCGTAACTCGAGGCAAACATCAGTTCACCTCCCAGCTCCTGCCGTGCATCCCGCTCCACGCCATCCATCCCCCGCGGGACACCGCGGTAGGCAGCACGGCAGAGGGAGCAGCGACCTGCTGGAGAACCCCCAGGGAACACCTGCCTTGGAGCTCTTGCCCTTTAGGAGGCGTTTTTAAAAAGTGTTTATCCCAGCACCGTTTGCTTCACCCCTGGAGCTGAATCCCAGTGAATCCCACAGGTCCCAAGGGCAGCACTGAGGGTCCCGTTTCAGGGAACACATTTCAAGCTGCTCTGAAGGGACCCGGGCTGGTTTGAGGCACCAGCTTTGCTTTTAAGAGTCAAAGAAATTAAGTTTAAAGGCTGGGGTAACTCATGAGCTCGACTTCAGTACTGAGGATTGAGACTTTGGGGTGAGTTTAACAACTGCCATCATCTTTCTGGTGCCTGCCCTCCAACCCAAGGACACAAATAAATACTACACAGCACAGCACCAGCTCATCCAGATGGAAGGAAGCAAATCTCAAGCCCTCCTTTAAGAGAGTCAAATCTTCTAGGGTTGCCCTCACCTGAGAAGCTCATCCAAATAAGAGAGAGAGGACCTCAAACAGTCACAAAACAACTCCAGGAAAAAAAGGCACAACAATCCCTTTAGCACAGGGAGAGGGGGTCAGGGGAGCTTAAGAAGTGGCAGCACAAGGAGCTGACCCAGCAGCCTGATGCTTGAAGGCAAAAAGTATTTTGCTTCCCCTTGCTCATTCTCACAACCAAAAAGGGCAGAGTCACATCCCACAAAAGGAAAAAATGAGTTATATTTGATTAAGAGGTGAATAAATACCCATTCCTTTGTCTCCCTCCCGTAGATGCTTTTTCCTGAGCAAGGAAAGGAGCCAGCAAGGGCCAGAGCTGGTGTTCAACCAAGAGCTGCTGGGAAGGTCAGGCTCCTTCAGATGCAGATTGCACCCAGATGGTGATTTCCTCCTGGCAGTGGCAGGGCTCAGGGAAGGCAGCCAGTCTCCAGCTCGCTCTGCCAGAGCCAGAGGCAGAAAATCCCTGGCCAAAGCCATGGCAGCACACAGATTTTATCAGGCCAGGGTCACACAGCCAACTTGTGCTGCCACCAGCCAGAGCAAGGAGATGCAGACAGGACTGAGGGCTCAGCCATCCTCACTGTGTTCACCCCACAGCTCTTGCCCTGAGTGCAGCCCCCTCTCCCCAGGCCCCAAAACAGGATTTACTTCCTTGCAAAGATGCTCTCATGTCCAGCAGGTATTCAAGGGCCCCCTGCAAGCAAAGAAGGGGAGCAACTCTCGCTCAACCACTGCCTTCTTGGAAAGGAGTCACAGAGGGAACTGCAGTTTGGAGAGGATCATGGAATCACAGGATGGTTTGGGATGGAAGGGACCTTAAAGAACATCCAAGTCCCACCCCTTGCCATGGGCAGGGACACCTTCCACTAGCCCAGCTTGCTCCAGCCTGGCCTTGGACACTTCCAGGGATCCAGGGGCAGCCACAGCTTCTCTGCCCAACCTGTGCCAGGGCCTGCCCACCCTCCCAGTCAGCAATTCCTTCCCAATATCCCATTTAAATCTTCACTTTTCCAATTTGAAGCCACTTCCCCTTGTCCTGTCCCTCCATGCCTTGTCCCCAGTCCCTCTCCAGCTCTCCTGGAGCCCCTTTAGACCCTGCCAGGGGCTCTCAGGTCTCCCTGGAGCCTTCTCTTCTCCAGGGGAACCCCCCCCAGCTCTCCCAGCCTGGCTCCAGAGCAGAGGGGCTCCAGCCCTGGCAGCATCTCCAGGGCCTCCTCTGGACCCTGGGTTATTTTGATATGAAGGAAAAAGTTATTTGTAAGGGAGTGTGGGATTGAAAACTCCATCTCCCAACCAGCAGCTTTAGCTCTCCCCTGACACATCAACACCTGAGGGTCAGTTCACCTTTCTGTTGCTACAGGCAGGGGATCTCTGCGTGGAACTTGTCAAAGCACACCCCCACTTTGGGGCTCAGGAACAGGACACAGGCTCTGTGTCACAGCTCCCTGGACCTGCAGCCATTCCCAGCCAAGCACCAGAGAGCCCAGCCTGCCTCTCCCTCCTGCCAGCACATCCTGAGATCCAACACATCATTGCAGGACACAGCACATGGTAGAACCATAAAACATCCCAGAACTTGGAAGGGACCCACAAAGATCAAAGCCCAACTCCTGGCCCTGCCCAGGACACCCCAACAATCCCACCCTGTCCGAACCCTCCTGGAGCTCTGGCAGCCTTGGGGCTGTGTCCACTGCCCTGGGGCAGCCTGGGCAGTGCCAACCACCCTCTGGGGGAAGAACCTTGTCCTGAGATCCAACCTGAGCCTGCCCTGGCCCAGCTCCAGCCATTCCCTGGGTGCTGTCCCTGCTCACAGAGAGCCAAGATCGGAGCTGCCCCTCCACTCCAGCCCAGTGGGATTGCTGAAACCCAGTCAGTGAAGTCACCTAAGAGCTGACATTCAGCAGAAGATGATTTTCCTTCGCTCTGGCTCCTGTGTGGGTAAAATCATGGGAAAATCCTCCCCTTAAGTGATGTTACAGCCACACAAAGAGTCCTGCTGCCTAA